CCCCGTTGTGCTTCGCTGAGTGCAAAAATGATAGTTACTTATGTATTGTATTAATCAAATTCGCTTGATATTGCATTTAAAAATCCTCATTATTTATTGTTGAAATTAATACAAATAACATTGTACGTAGGAAATACTAATGTATCAGGATTCTCATGTGTCGATTTTAGCTGCGACAATAAAAAAAAACAATGCGTATTTGAAGAAAGATTATTGTGCGAAACTCACGTGAGGGCTAGAGTTTATTTCACTTAATATCTTATCGATCCAATACGCTCCAGTATCACGAATACGTAGGCCTATTTATTTCGTTCATTAAGTTGTCTTCAATATCGCTAATACTCGAGTGCCGATATTACGCTTCATCGCATCAATATCATCAACAAATATCATATCTGTATATAAGTCAATTCTCTATCCACATTTATTTATTTTATTTAATATTTAAGTTCTAAACCTCTATTTCTCGCTGTAAATAATAATGCATTAAACACATTTGGTGGACTCCATCTGGTATTCTGAAATCCACTAACGATTCCCATTGCTCTCAATCGATAGCTGGATACTTCTCCTTGGATTGCTTGCACGTCTTTTACTATAGCGCTACAATGAATTTTATCAAACAAAGGTGATGAAAAACTAATGTTCATCAATTATTCTGCAGTAAGAAAAGTCGTTTTTTTCAATGGTTCAATATCGAATGAATATTTCAGTCATCCGATGAGACTTCCATTTATAAAATCATCGATAATACTCGCGTTTCAGGTTGTATTAATGTCTTCATTTGAGTATTATCGATTTATTTAAACCTCACGTACATCACATCATACATCAATGATAAAATATATTCACTCATTTATGTGGTTTCATAATGCATCAAGAAAATAGATTTTTTTCATCGGATTTCTGGAAATATGAATTCGATGGTGGATGAGCAGTAATTTTTATGATAGAATAATCAACGAGATTCGAATGGAGAACCATCCAAATGTAAATTGCAAAAGCAGATTGAGTCCCGGATGAACCAAAAAAAGAGCAAAAAATGAACACTTTTTTCCGAGCACGGCTTTATTGGGGTGATGGGTGTGGCAAAAATGTTGAAAAGTTAAAAAAAAAGGTCAATAAATCAAAATCATTGAGAGACACGAGCAATGTAGTAGATGCGAGGCAGATGCACTTTTTGCATAAAAACAAAGCAATGACTAGAAATCAAATAGAAATTGAAATGTGACGCGACACGAGGAGGAGAAGCCTCAGAGAGACTTAATAAAAAAAGCAAAGTAAAATCAAAAGTGATGAAAAAAAAATGAAAAACAAAACGCAAAGTAACAATGTGTCTGGTTCTGCCGCCAGGTCTGTTGGCCGGCAGCAGCGCGACCGATGAGTTTCGATGTGAGCCTTGCAACAAAAACCTGACCTCACTAACGCGGTTGAAGCGGCACATACAGAACGTACACACCCGGCCGAGTAAGGAGCCAATCTGTAACATCTGCAAGAGGGTTTACTCCAGTCTCAACAGTCTGAGGAATCATAAGAGCATCTATCATCGCCAACATGGAAAGATGGAGCAGCAGCGTAAGGAGGAGGAGCAGCTCAAGCGTGATAGAGAATTGCAGGAGCAACTCTATGCACAACAACAACAGCAGCAGCAACAGCATCACGATTATTCACGTATGGGCTGAAATGAGACGAATAACTAGGGATCTTTTGAGTTCAATTCATTGAAAAAATACCGTATTAGTGCCTTTTCGGACTTGAAATCTTAAATCTGATTTTCCTCATTGTGAGTTGTGTTTATTAGATAGGGAGTTATTGCAATTGAAAAATGTGGTGATAGAGTTTTGAAACTATGATATGGTTGATATTTGAGTTTTAATGTTTATGATAAGGAAATAAAAGTTACCGAGATGAAGCGTAATCCACACGATGAAGCATTAATTTTTAGTTACGAGTGTATTACATTGAACTAATTACGGTTAATTGTAACTTGTTATGTTGCAATATCAGTCGGCAACGAGTACACAGATCCGGGCATAATGGTTTTAGCAATCCGGCGAGTTCTATTTTTGTATTCTGTTTATAATCCCTGAATGTGGAGATTGATGTTCTATGTTCACTGTGACAAAGTTGGAGATAATTATTTTTCATTCAGATCTCGACCAATGCTAGCCTCATTCCAAAGCGACTGAAACGAATTATAGTTTTTTTTTAATAGATTGTATACTACATAATGTACCTACGTGACTGAAAGAGATACTACGATCACTGAAATTGCAGTGTCACGACAGTTTTACATTCAATATCACGATTCATCCTATTTGTTTCTTTTTTTTTTAATAATCAATTACAGTTAATACTCTTCAATGGTTCTAGTATCACGTGTCATGTCAACACGAGGCTCGATATAAATTCATTACTTCAGACTCAACGTCTCGCATAGTTCACAACCAACAAAATGTATTCTAATTAGTAATTATTTTCAATTCAATTGATTTCAACCAGATTAACGGATACTTAATTTATTTAATCATTAATATAATTTATATTGAATTCTGTTGAGGATGTAATAAATTTTTAAAATTTCTCATCGTCAGAATGTTTTGTCTCGTACAATATAGAAACCACAGATGATCGCACGTATAAAATAAGTTCTCAAAGTATCTGACACTCGCTCTCTTTACCTTTCTCACTCCAATGAAACTGTATACCAGGGTTTTCCCACGTGGAAGTAAACTTTGTGTTTTGCGATTCCTCAATAAAAAAAAGGAAGAAATAGTAGATTTTACCCTAGTGGTAAATACGATATTTTTAAAGCACCGTCGTGATATTTATTTCTCTCTCTAGGAGTTGTTCAAATATTTATTTATCCGAAAAAAAAGTTTCCTCGCCGTAGTAGTAGAGAGTCTTGTATCATCTCGATTGATGTGCGCGCATGTTTTCATTTGTCTCCTTCACTCCTCAACATGTATTATGCATTTGTTTTATTCGGGGGAGGCTAACGTTCGCGTGCCACGAGTTTACAGTGATTGTTATTTACATTTGCCCATCATTATTATTATTTTTGAGAAAGGTAAATTGTGATAGGCGATCGTTTTCATGAGATACTTGAAATCTTGTCTTGAGAATGATGATAATAATAAAAAATACAAAACAACAAAATGTAGAATTACAATTTCCTTCGACAAGATGTCTTATCCTGATATTATAAATCACCCTGGTACCATTCCCGGACGATTTTTAGATATATATTTCACGTTGAAAAATTGTCTGGATCCGTTTATATGCAATCGCAGTGCGAACGCAGTTTATAAAGATTAAGGGTAAATTATGACTTTTTCCTTATTTGCCTGTTTGTTCAAAAGAAAATTAGTACAGAGTATGAAATGTAGTACATATACGTCTTCGTTTTCAACACCCCGCCGTGTAAATAGAATACTTTTTATACCTGAGTTTGTAAGACATAATATATTTTTATCGATTAATTAATATAAGAGAAGAATCGTTTAAAGAGGATGAAAATTTTCTTTTATTTTGTTTTGGTGGGTCCAGGGTTATTCTTTCCATTGTATTCACGCACGTTGTTTGTCATTATTTATGAATAAACATTTTATTTCTTTCGTAACCAAACTTTTTTTTTTGTTTGATTCACTCGAGAACACGAGTTTCTTTTGAATCCGAACGGAAATCATGTTTTGCAATCTCAAAGTTATTCTTTTATCATTATTGCACTCGATCATAGTATTAGAGCGTTGTCAAGATAAGTCTGCGTGTTTTGTGAAATCAAGATCTCTAGATAATTACGTTTAAGTTTTCCTCGTTAGACTCATCCACACACGGGGAGACATTGAGAATGGTATGTTGAAAGCAAACTTCATTACTCATATTTGAAGAAAAAAAAAAATGCTTCCCTGTTGGCGAAATGCCACTGGGAAATGATGAATTTTAATTTTAAAATCCCGTTGTGCCTGAATTGCTCGAAACTTTATCCTATCTCTGAGGATGTCGTTCATCGATAAATTTCTGATATCAGTTGATGAAATGATGATTTGAACTATTAAATAGAAGAGAGATATCGAACGATTATCTTCCGATTTGAGTAGAGTAATCCACAACAGCAGAACGGGGTTAACAAAATAATTACCATGTGTCACGTTAAGATCCCCACTTATTCACAAAAAAAACCTCGAGTGTGATTGGTTATCGCTGGCACGAGTCACATTACCATGATCAATGACAAACCAGAGCCCTCCGAGCCTTTCTTTTATTTTATAACAAACGAATAGATTATTCTCAGCACATTTGATAAACGAATGCACCGCTTCGAGTGTCAGCTGAGCCGATGTCACCCAAATTCTTTTTGTTTTTAATATTCAATACAAAAAGTATGAAGTAGTAGCGCAATTTCCCTCTAATGAAAGTACCCCCAAAAATGTAAAAAGAGATGATAACAATTCCCAATGGAACCCAACGATACCCCCCAACTCATGAATTTTTCACCCCTCAGAACAATACAAAAAAAAATCCACCTGCCCACCCCTTTACCACCCCCCAGAAGACCTGTATAGAAATTACTAGCATCGTTACTAATGTGTCCACAATATTAATGGCAGTCGTATCTTTGTTCTTGTTTGTTCCCGGTCCCGCTCGCTCGGCTATACGTGCTCTGGTTCGTCATTGTTCTGTGTGTACCTACTACTACCTTCACGAACGGATTTACGCTGGGGGTCCATCCACACGTGGCTCTCTATCTGTGTGTACCACCTCCTCCACGTCAATTGGTTCGTAAACGGATATATTTTTTTTTTGTTTTTCTAATTGGGATCAATGTTAACGGTGCTTGGTTTATATTTTAATTGCTTGCCAAAATTACATATGAATATCAATGATGAAACAAACAAATCAATGCAAATCAATAACGCAATGATCTAATGTCCATTGTCTCGCATCATCTGAATGAAAAAAAAAACAAATCAATCGATTAATTAATTGAAAACGCGAAGGTCCACCGTCAGCGATTCTCGCGATGCGTTTGTCCCATCCGATTCACAACAGCCTACTGCCACCAGGGATATGTTACACTTGTGACGTTTGCGGAAAGACACTGTCAACAAAGCTAACGCTAAAGCGCCACAAAGAGCAGCAACACTTTCAGCCCCTCAACAGCGCACTTTGCGTCATGTGTAACAAAGTGTTCCGAACCCTCAACAGTCTCAACAATCACAAGAGCATTTATCATCGTAGGCAAAAATAGAGTTTGCCAATGGGGCGACGGGAGTACACAAGACGTCGATCGTGAAACGGAAGAAAAATTGAAAATTGTAAACAGGTGGAAAACAGGAGACCAAGAGAAGTGATGAGAGAGGACGATTGAACCGAATTGAGATATGAGGAAGGAAAGAATCTATGAGGGTTTAATGAAGTGCTTCCACGAGTGTTGACGAGTTCAAATGGATAATATGAATGGATTTGGGAGCGGGAAAGATTCACTACTCTTCATCATCGAAGTTGCCAAAAAAAATGATTACAGTTTTATCGACTGACACACATTCCTCTGCCCCGTGATTGAGAGAGATTTGTGAGATATTAAAAATAGAGAGTGTCGGTGTGACGCTTGCGTTCGTAATGTAGTATATCGACGTGGTCCCGATGCGGCTTTACGAACTCTGTTAGTTAGGATTTGTTGAACGGTAAAAGATGAAATGAAAATAGTAACTTCCAGGTGTCGAAGACGCCATCGTCCAGCATTTAACTTTAGGAAGAGACATAAAAATGTTGAAAAAAAGACTGTGTGCGATGAAGAAAATTGATGACCTACAAGACTCGAGATTTTTAATTGTTCCCAAAACGTAAAGTATAGAAGATGAGAAAAAAAACTAATGAAAATTAATTTGAGTAATTGTGCAGTGCATGAGCCGACTCAAATGAGGGAGGAGTAGAAATTTTTTGCGAGATACTTCACGATTCATTTATTATTGGAGAAGCAATGATATAATATATATTTTATTTTAATATATTCCATTCCAATGCGCAAGAGAGTATGCTTTAAAAGAAAACATAACGGGGTACCTTTTTTCGTACAAGCGAAGTTAATACTTGTTTATCTTCTTTGCGTCCCGAGGGACTTTACGTAAAGTACCTTGAATCCCTCTATTAATGTTTTATACAAAAACTTCCCAAATTTTAATTTTAATGATACGAAATTAGAGTTACGTGTTGTTATTGCGCCGCCCGAATATTTTCAAAATTCACCAGGATGGAATTTAATGCTATTAGTGAAATGGTGAAACGTCATAATTCGAATATTACATTTTTGTTGATGTTGGAATTATCTCAGAACTGATGTTTTGCGAGATATATTATTTATACTGAATGAGAAAATTGAATGTGAAAAAACAAATTTTTATTGATCGAGTGAAAAATTTTAGACACATATTTTTGCATTTCAATTAATAAGGAAAAGGCAACAATTGAAGGAGACTGGAAATGTTTTTGGCTGACTAGCTTTACGATTTTTAATTATTTTTCGGAGAAAAAATACCTATCCAGTATTCTTCATCTCAATTTCATTTTTGTTAACCCTAGTTGGTCACTTGGTTTTTGAAGTTTTAATTCGGATCCCTCTACCAATTAGCTTAGCAATTGGCAAATCATTGAAAAAAATATTTTTAAAAATTTTAACACTTTTCAGCAACAGTTTTGATTTTTTAAAGAATATTTTACTCAGCCGCCTAATTGATATTACAAAATGAAAATGAGCCTTGCGGCAATTCCCTAACACGATGACCAATTTAGGGTTAATTTTATTAAATACTAAAATTTTATACAACAACTAAATCATTTCATTTTAACAGGCAATATTGACAACTATTTCATAGCTAAAAAATTTAACTCTAGAACAGTTCTCTAAACTTTTCAGTTTATTCAGTATCGAAATAGATTTATATTCAACGAAATTGAAGACACTAATTTGTTACATTTCACCACTTCATATTTCAACGGCATATTAAACGGGAAACAAATGACAGAACAGTCCATTACATAAACAGAAAACCTCCACAAGAGCAGAGAGAACTGAAAGAACAGAATGAAATAGCCGCAAAATACATATAGTCGAACATTATATATTTTAGTAGGACATTTCATAAGAAAACAAATATACATTCTTCAAAGCCTTCTTGATGGATTCCTCCTTCTCGTCGATACAATTCAATTGATCCGAAAATGTATCCATCATCTTTACGGACAACTGTCAACCCATCCGCCCCAAAAACTGATGAATTAATTCATAAAGAATTAACAAGATATCAATCAAGGAAGCTTTGATCAAATCAGAAGGATAAAACATTGAAACAAGCCTAGACTAAACGGTCTTATCGACTAATCTTAGTGAGTTTGATGTGACAGACCCCACACAGAACCGACACAAATCCCCTATGATATATATTATATTTTGCAGCAGGAAACACATAACAAATATTTGTGCATGAATATATCTTCAATCTACACTTTTAATTACACGAAAAAAATGAAATGAATGATTCACGTCTACCACCCACAAAAGCGTATGAAACACGTTTATTTAATTAAATAGATAAATGAAAAAGTACGATAGATTAATTTTAAGTTTGTGTCAAATTGAACTCAATGAGGGAAGGAGGGAGGGAGGGAAATGATGAAAAAAATGATAATTAAAAATCATGATTAAAATGTTACGAGAACACTCGGGAGCGGAAAATGAAGAATGAAGCTTTAAATTAACGGGAATTACTGAAATATACAGTTTTATAGTAGTCAAGGCAGAAAGAACTGATATTGATAATATTTAAACGTAGGATTTATTTGCGAGATGAAAAAAATAATTAACAAAAAAAAGGTAATAAATTGACACTTGTGACTACTGTAAAAATGGCCAAATACGCGGATTATTTGTTGACCCACAGCGAGTGTGGGGCGGCATTCTATTGAGAATAATAAATTATTAATGAAAAAAGAAAAATGATAAAAGAAACAAAAAGTTAAATTTAATATAAATTGATTGAATATTTAATTGCATATTGAGTATATATTCGTAGAGATTTATTTGAATTTTTTATTATTACTTTTTTTCTTCTCTTTTCTCTTTTATTCTCGTTATGATTATTATTATTTTTTTTGTGCGTAAACTGATATAACGAGCCGCGTTTAAAACGTGTAAAGGAGAAATTATACATCGTTAATTGTCATTTACGAGTTTCCGGTTTGCATTTACATCGTTGACCATAAAATTATCTCGCGCCAGAGGGAGAAAGATAGTAACGAATTTATTTTTTATTAGTGTAATAAGGCCCCCAATAACAAATAACGCTGAAAATGTTTTTGTTATGTGAAAATAAAAAAACAAGACTGAATCAGGAATTGAATGTTGAAACTGGTGCGAGAAAGTAAAAAAAACACAGAGAGAAAACAAATTCTATGCGACACATTGTTTAATTACGTGTCTCTGACTGAATTGGATGAAATCATCTTGTTTTTTCTAAAATTAGTCGACTTTTTTGTTTTATTGGACTGATTTTTTTTTCTATATTTGACTGATGTTACCAAACTGTTGAATGAAAAAAGTACCTAATGATTAAGTTAAAAACGAAAAAAAAATTTAAGCACTAAAAATAAGGCATTTTGCCTGTGCAATTTTATTAGAGAAAAACTAAAAATGAGTGAATGAAACTAATGAAAAATGGAACTGTGAATGAGAAAGGTCTGCGAGAAAATCGACAACCGTGACACACGAGCCAATTATCAATTAATAGAAATATATAAAATCGATGCCGCCATCTTTGAAAGGAAAACAAAACGAACCCATTACGAGCTGAATTACGTGATTATTTTTTTTCGCTCCTCATTTCCGATGAGACAAATGGTCCAAGGGTCATAAACACATACACACACCGCTTTGTTTTTTTTTTATTCACTTAATAATCAATAAATTATGTAATAGTAATAATAGATATACAGGCAAACATGAGAAAAAATACAAACGATAATTGCACAATTTTTTTTTACTACTTTTCACAATAGCTTAAAATACTATACAATATAGATTTCGCTTTACTTAGTAATGCTACTTGTCCCTCCGTAAAAAAATGTCGAGAGAAAGAATAAAAGGAAAATTTATTGAGCAGACGAAAGAACGTTAGTACCTGCGCGATACGAAAGATTTATTGATACGGAATTGATATTGAAAAAAAAACCTATCGACTTTAGAAAGAATGATGAATATTCGTGAAAAAGTAACAAGAGCACGAGGAATAATAGATTCTCTGAGCAGAAAGAAAACGAAATTCTTAAGAATGATAAATACAAAATTTCGTTCACTCGCGCATAAGAACATGTGTAACTAAAAAAAAATGTGGTTACGTTATCTTGCTTACTTATTATTTTGTTATCTGCCAAGGTGTTCTGGTTTATAGTATATATTTATTATTGATTATTATTCTTTTTAAGCTATGTCAAATGCATTTTAATATATTTTCATTTTTTATATAATGCAGAAAATGTACTGTTTGGTTTAATAATTCCGTTGTTTTTATTATTTCGTTTTTACGATCTATACGAAATGAAAACACCTATCACATCCTCTTGCCACATAAGAAGAAAAGCCATATGAATTAATCGATTAGAAGGAAAAGTTATAGAAAATTTTGAAGTACCCAGAGAAATGAATTTTACTAAAGAAATATTTTCAGCCACAATAAAGAAAAGGTAAGTTTGCCTTAATTGTACCAACCGGTATCATTGTCAATGTCTTTTGTCCCCGCAACACCAGCCATAAACTCCTAACGATACACACTGTGTCATCAAACTTGCGTCTTTTCAATTAAAAACAAGAAAGAATACAAAGTCAAGCAAAAAAAGGAAGAAAGCTGGTCATCGCAGTGCAATAGCGAAGAATGTTTTCTTCGAGTCACAAAAAACTGTAGTTTGTGTGTTTTTAATGATCATGCTATACATCACATTGAACAGCGAAGATACCTTCTCCTCCTCAATACCATCAGCTGCATATAATTATTTCTTTTCTCTATTATTAAAATGTAAAAAAACAAGTTGACGAGTGTTCGTCACAACAAACAATGAGATCATCTTTACCTACCTATTGAGAAAAATGCATTTCTCTTATACATGATGTTTCATAAGAATTAATGAAGAGAAATTTCCCGTGTAATTGCAAAGATCCCAGACGTTGAAAGCATTAAAAAGCGATACATGCTGTTAAACTCCAGTTGCATGCTTTAAGTGTCACCCCGAATGCTCAGTGTTTATCCTCCGTCTTTTGTCAGGCCTCTCTCTCTCTCTCTCTTTCTCTCTCTCTCTCTCTCTCTCTCTTTCTCTCTCTCTCTCTCTCTCTCTCTCTCTCTCTCTCCACCATCTTTCCAAGACCATCGTAAGAAATAATTATTTATTTCTCCTAACGATACATGCCCAGGTATCATCCATATCGCATATCTCAGTATTCTATTTATTCTTTTTCATTTACGTTCACCAACACAATGTACATTTTTTTTGTTCATAGGATTTTTATTGAGTTTAAATATATTCACCTGCCATAGCATCCCTCTCCCTCGCTGTTACTTTCACTCCACCCTCTCCCTCTCCCTCTATCCATCCTCCTTTACACTGCCAACTGCAGTTTCTTTTGCCTGAAGTTTAATGAGACACAACTCTTGGGAAATTGGATAAAGAGCAATTTTCAAATGAAAATGAATGGTTTCGCCTGGCGCTCTCAACAACCCCACCTACCGTTACACATTTTTTCTCCACCCTTCACAATATCTTCGCGTTTGAATTTATAATATTGTATCCGAGAAATACGATGGATGAGTTCTTCATCTCACCATCTTCACTTCGTAATTCAATCTGAATAAATGGGGCGTCCCTACTTATTGAAAACACTCTTAGACGAGACAACTTTTAACTCAATTTTGTTTAATTTTTTCTTCTTCTTTCAAATATTTTTTTATTTCAATTCCACTTTCTTATTCTTTTCACGAAGTCAATGTATTTTCAATTTACATTTTATGTAACTAGAGGATGAGAGAATGTTTTTAGAGATGAGGGGCGAGCGACAGGTAGAGGAGGGGAGGGTAAGCGAATGATAAATGAAATAATAAGTCGAAGTAGAGTGAAACGAGAAATTTCAATGTAAATGAATGAAAGAGAAAAAAAAATGTCAGACTTTGGTGGTAGGTAAGTGTGGGGTGGCTGCATGAGGTGCATTGTTGTTGTTTCAGTGCTCGCCTCCATGCCAGGGCTGACCTTGAACTCGCTGAATACACCATCTCCAAAGAAGCTGTTTACTTGCCAATTGTGTGGCAAGGTACTATGCAGCAAAGCATCCCTAAAGCGTCACGTGGCCGACAAGCATGCCGAACGACAGGAGGAGTACAGATGCGTCATCTGCGAGCGGGTTTACTGCTCACGTAACTCACTGATGACACATATATATACCTATCATAAGAGCAGACCTGGCGACATTGACATTAAGTTCTTTTGAAGGTTTAGATAAGGTAGGGTCCACTCACAGAAAAAAAAAAAGAAAAAAAAACAACAAAAGAATTATCGATCTTGATTATGCTCTTCAAGTTTCTTTAAATAGATTTTTCCCTTCTTTCCTAATTTGCTTTCTCTTTTTTTTCTATTTCATTTTAATTCTTTACTTCTCTCACTGTCTCTCTCTCTCTCTCTATTTGTCTCTCTCTCTTCACAGAAATTTGCATGCTCGACTAACTCTCTCGGATCCAACACTATTTCTGATGGTTTACTTTATTTTATACGCCATTTCTCTCAGTCTCCCGTTTTATTACACAAAACATTTACCCCACTTTCCTCAACTGGATTTGGTCTTACTTCTTGATGCATGAATGGGTTATTGAAATGAAAATGTTCACCGAAGTAAATTTGTCTATCTGAATTTAGATGAATTATTCAAGGCGACTTGAATGACGTCTGAATTGAAATTTCTCACCGGTGGAAGAGAAGTTTCCAATTGTTATTTATACAACTGCGATGAAACTCGACGATTTTTATTCCTGTAATAAAATGAATTGAATTGGTGAGAACGAACATAAAATTGGGATTTATTAACAAAAACCGAGTTCATCTTTGTTGATGAATTGTTGTCAATGCTTCAGGCTACCCACCCTGAGTACTAACCCAACATATCCCGATCTGCCTTGTTCATTTTACACTGTTTTTTTTTTCATTTTTTGCCTTTTGTCTATTTCCTCCTCTAGTCTTCATTTGGATAATCTTCTTTTTATTCATCAGTGCTTTTGATGTTCGATGTTGTTTGCATGCCTCATAAACACTCAGTCACGCATAAAACATACCTTCCAGCACGCGCTGGGTATCACCCCACCAGAATAATCGAGTGTAAAAATCCGTCTGTCTTTTTTTTTTAAGTAGAATATATTTTACGGTCAATCAGCAGTCGTGCATGATGGAAATATACAGGGATGAAATAATTGCATGACTTCTTTCCCACCTGTTCGCTCCACCCCTCTGTCATGGAAAATATTCTTTAGTATTCTTTATTTATTGTGAATATCTCTAGTGCACGTCTACTATGTTTATAATTCAAATATTTAATTTTTTTATTAGCAATTTTACATGCGGAGTAAGGCAAATAATATGACGACATCAGTCTCTGCAGCTGAGGATTTGGTCATTGAATTAATGAATGTGAATTGGCTACACTTTTTTTCGAAATGTCCCAGGGATGAGTAGGTTTTGGGAGAAATTTTGAGCCATTTTTGTAGGTAATTGCAGAGGTAAAAACGGTTTATTGATGATTTTTCTAAGCAAGGATAGTCATATCTATAAACTATAATTATTGTTAAATTATTAAGTAGTCAATTAGTTAATATCACTCTTGAATTTTAATTATTGAGATAATCATCAATTCAGTAGCGAAGTGGTCAAACGGTTTAATTCAATTTAGTCTTTCGT